CGCAGGTGAGCCGGCTTGGGGGGCGGGGGTCCCCCGAGAGCGGACCTGGGGGGCGGGGGTCCCCGGGGAGCGGACCTGGGGGGCGGGGGTTTCGGGGGAGCGGACCTGGGAGGCGGGGGTCCCCCGAGAGCGGGCCTGGGGGGCGGGGGTCCCGGGGAGCGGGCCTGAAGGGCGGGGGTCCCCCGAGAGCGGGCCTGGGAGGTGGGGGTCCCCCCGAGAGCGGGTCTGGGGGACGGGGGTCCCCCGAGAGCGGGTTTGGGGGGCGGGGGTCCCGGGGGAGCGGGCCCGGGGGGCGGGGGTCCCGGGGAGCGGGCCTGAGGGGCGGGGGTCCCCCGAGAGTGGGTCTGGGGGGCGGGGGTCCCCCGAGAGCGGGTCTGGGGGGCGGGGGTCCCCGGGGAGCGGGCCTGGGGGGTGGGGGTCCCCGGGGAGCGGGCCTGGGGGGTGGGGGTCCCGGGGAGCGGGGCGGGCGGCGGTGGGGACGGGGTCGCAGCACCATCTGGGCTCAGGAATTCCGATCTTGGGAGGAGGGTATTGTGTCCGTTAGCATCTCCGACTTACACTCCGAGTGTTCGGGGCTGGATCTGGCTCTGTTTCCCCCCGCCGAAGCCATACTTAAACCCAGCATTGGCGCATTGCGGAGGAAAGGCGCTGCGACGGGAACCTCGCTCAGGGGGGAGGGGTCTGCGGCCGCCGGGAGCCCTGCGCGGGGACTTGGAAGAAGACGCGGGCCTCGGTCCAGGCTTTGCTCCTGGTCCCTGAGCGGCCTCGCTTCCGTTTGCTCCTCTCCGTGGCCTCAGCTTCGCCATCCGTACCATGAGCATGGTTCGGCCTACAGGATCTGCAGAAGCCTGATACATGATGGTTGCTCCTTAGAAAATACTCGTTTTTAAAAAATATATATTTTATTGATTTTTTACAGAGAGGAAGGGAGAGAGATAGTTAGGAACATGGATGAGCCGAAGCCGACTTGGGTCAGTGGATAGAACGTCAGCCTGCAGACTGAAAGGTCCCAGGTTCAATTCTGGTCAAGGACATGTACCTTGGTTGCAGGCACGTCCCCAGTAGGGGGTGTGCAAGAAGCAGCTGATGGATGATTCTCATCGATGTTTCTAACTCTCTATCCCTCTCTCTTCCTCTCTGTAAAAAGTCAATAAAGTATATTAAAAAAGAAAAAGAAACATGGATGAGAGAGAATCATCAATCAGCTGGTAAATGCCCTTGACTGGAATCGAACCTGGGCCCTTTCAGTCCACAAGCTGATGCTCTAACCACTGAGCCAAACCGGTTTCAGCAAATACTTGTTTTTTAAAGAGTGAATAAATGAGATAGGGAGGTGTCCTAGGGTTCACTGGAGGCTGACAGCTGCATTGGGTTAACTGGGAGCCTGTGGAATTAGAGTTCTTACAGCCTGAGAAATAGGTGGTCTTACCTTCGTTACAAGAGGAAATGGGCCCCAAAATAAAGCAATTTGCTACTAAGCATCAAAGCCAAGTGACATCTCAAAGTCTGTGCTATACTTATCCTCTCCCAGTAAGGGAGGGTTTCACTGAAAGGTGTTCCTATGGAGCAGCAATTAATAATATGAGTTCTCTGCTAAAATGAACATCTCTAAAGCAGAACTGGATCAGATTCTTCTCTACATGTAGTTCCCAGCATAGGTATGGTTTGTGTGAAATAGTTTGGATGTCAGTGCCAGAGCCGTCATCTATGTTAACACTGTCATCAACATGATCAGCCTAATAGCAAGAAAAACTAACGATAGTGACGATAATTGCTGTAGTGATAGCAAAGCCATAAGTGGAATTGTAAAAAAATCAAAATTTACAATAAAGACTTTTCTTTATGGGGCCTTAAAGTTGATAAAGCACTTTCCAGTGGTTCTTCATATTGATCATCTTGGTAGGTATTATTATTATTATCCGTATTTTACAAGCAAAGAACCCAAGACCTAGAGAGATTAAGTGAAGTGACTAGCGCAAAATCTCACAATAAAGACATAAAGTGGGGACACCACTCTGCCTTCCTGTGTTCCATTCTTATCACCTAGAGAATTCTCGTTTCAATGTTAACGAATAGTCATGTGTTGGCTGATGATTATTAGTGTGAGTATTAACTCAGAATTGAATTGTTAACTTATAAGAATTTAAAGTATCTCTCCCAGAGGCACAGAGGAGTTTAAATACTTTTAAGAAGGGGAGTTATAATTGCAGATATTATCATCATGATCCACAGATTTCAAGGAATAAAACTAGAATATGCGATGATTGACAATCTAAAAATAGTAACTGTCATATATTGAACTCATACTATGTCATGGGCTCTGTGACAGCCACTTAAACTATTTTACTTAATTCTCTCAGCCACTGTATTGAATTTTATAAATGAGGATAAAGAAGTTAAATAACATGCTGAAAGTCTTAGCCTGGTCCAATTCCTGTGTTCTCAATCTTTATACCAGTTTGGTCAGGGACTGATTTTTACTTAAAAGAAAGCCTGCCTCTCCTTGGCAGGAGAGCCGGATTGGGGGAAACAGAGAGGCTGTAGTCTGTGGGGAGAAGACTATTCACCATGCCTTTCCGCTGCGCCATTGAGAGCCCAGACTCAGAGTGAGGAGACCACCTCCCCACATCTCTTTAGAAATAGTGACTGAATGAATCTTTCATAAGCTATAGATGCAAGTTTGTCTTGACTGACACTAAGAGGATGCAGCCAAAAGCAGTGTAACTTTCCCCGTCAGTTCATTGACCACAGGGCTACCTGAGACATTGATCTAAAATGCAAACTTGATCATGCCATTCTTCTGCCAAAAACTCTTAAGTGGCTCTCTGTCTGTGGGATAAACACCTTAATAAGGTATCAGAGGCTCCCAGGATCTGGTCTCTGCTGACCCCTTCAGTCCCATCTCTGCTCACAGCTTTTGAGCAGGATAGTCATACGGGACTCCTGAGATTTCTCACAGCTCACTGTTTTCTGTCACCTATAGATTTTTCACATCCACTCTCTATGCCCACCTCCTTTCTACCCTTCAATTGGCTAAACCACTATTTATCCTTTAAGATCCAGCTCAGCCATTCATTCAGTCACTCAACAAATATTAGTGCTTATCAATGACCAGGTATGGTTCTAGGTGTAGAAGTATACCAGAGAATAAAACACATATTCCTACTGCCCATTGGATGACATTAGAACGAAGGTGAAGGAATAAGATGTGGCTATCTGAAAGAAGAATATCCTATATAATAAAAGGGTAATATGCAAATAGTGGCAGAACAACTGAATCAAAGTGTAATATGCTAATGATATGCTAAAGTTGCTCAACTGCTTGCTATGATGTGTACTGACCACCAGGGGGCAGATGCTCCAACTGGTAAGTCAGCTTGCTGCTGGGATCTGGCCTATTGGGACTGAGCAAGATGAGCCAGACATACCATGGAACCCTCCCATGGTCCCTCCCAGGCCCATTCGTGCACTGATAGGGTCCCTTAGCTTGGCCTGCACCCTCTCACAATCCGGGACCCCTCCGGGGATGTCAAAGAGCCCCGATCCTGCAGGCCATTCCCCTTGGGAGGGTGCCAGACACAGCACTCGCCTCTCCCATTCAGGACTGATTGGACATGGCAGGCACAGTGGGGCTTGGATGAGTAGGAGCGGCAGGTAGGAGCTGCAGGCAGCATTGGACTGCGGGTTTCTGCAGGCCTTTCAGGGACCCCCCCCCCCCCATGCACGAATTCATGCACTGGCCCTCTAGTAAAGATATATGAGACAGGAGCTCCCTTAGCTATGTTGTTAGCTCTCCAGAAATTCTCTGCAGCCTCAATGTGGACAGCTGCCCTTTTCTATTTTCTACGTGCTCTCATTACATGGTGGTGTGATTGTCCGTGTTTATGTCTTTCCCTCACTAGGGTGTGGGTTTCATGAGGGCAGGGGCCTCTGAGTTCTATCTCCTCAGCACCTACCATATGGCCTTCCTTGGAGTAGGCACACAGAAATATTTATTAAATGAATGAATGTGGACTTACAGGCCTTGTTCTTACAGTCTGGTAATTTTTATAAATTATTTATAAGCTAGGGCATGGATGACAGATGAGAGAAAAAAAAAATGTTAAGCCTGGTTCTGTGTAACTGGCTTAATTCGTTTTTTGGGCCTCTGAAAAGTAGAACTCCTGATTTTCTTTGAGAAATGTATCTTGCGACTTCCATTTTCAGGATTATGGCCAGCTATATAACCTGTAAAATGGTGGATAAACTAAAAAATATAGCTGAATTTTCAAGAAAGAGAAATCTCCAGGGGCCGAAAAACCAAGAGTAAACTGAAAACTGGGTAGTTACTCCCATAACCTGACCTCAGCAGTCCTGGATGCTTGCTGGTCTTACATAGAAGCTTGGTTTTAATAGACATGTTGTTACCGTGAATGAAACTATGGGCCTGCATGGTCTAGACTTTGGTTGTCACAGCGATCCTTGCATGAAATCGTGTCCCTTGAAAATCTACATTTTCTGATTGGGTGGATGGACTAGGAAAAAAGTCGCTACTGATGCAGAGATGACAAAGAAGATTGCCTTTTATCCAATTTCAAAGAGAGGAAAAAAGTTTCCCCAAAGAATTCTTAAACAGAGGCATTTCTTCATATGGATTTGGATTTGTTTATATATATGTTACCCAAATGGTCTAAAAACTCCAAGCCAAGAAATTGGTATTAGAAGCCATCTGGGTGGTAATGTCCCTGGATGCTTGACAAAAGCAGACGTGGAATCTCCGGAGAGACCCACATGGCGCAGGCCATGTAGAATTCCCACAGAGTCTGGAGGATAAATGTGTTAAACAAGAATGTGTATTGCTTGCTTTGCGCGGTTGGGACCATAATGTTATTTTTATATTAAGAAAAATAAACTCTGCCTCTCTGTGATCTCCAGAAATGGAATGATAGAACAGAACTTGTGTACAAGCCAGCATTTGGTTATGGATACACATTGAGCTGCCTCCTCTCCCTGCAGAGATCATGGAAGAAGTGACGTCGTGCTCCTTCAACAACCCCCTGTTCCAGCAGGAAGAGAAGGGGGGGGTCACCTACCGGATCCCAGCCCTGCTCTACATCCCCCCCAAGTACACCTTCCTGGCCTTTGCAGAGAAGCGCTCCACAAGCAGGGATGAGGATGCGCTGCACCTGGTGCTGAGACGAGGGTTAAGGACGGGGCACACAGTACAGGTGACTCATCCCAGATCTGGGCCTGGGCCTCAGTTTCTCTCCATATTTGCTCTTGTGTCTTTTCCCACCAGTGCAAGAAAAAGCCTGTGTAAGAGTTAAAGGGGAAAAAACAGTAAAAGCAATGCCTCTCACTGAGTACTTACTGTGTGTCAGGGGCACATTGGTCCCTCGGCCACTGTGACAGGAATTGTCGGTCACATTTTACAGATGAGGAAACGGGCTCAGAGTTTGCCTTCATTGCTCAAGGTCACACAGCTACAATAAAGGAGTAGAAGCAGGCTTCAGATTTGATCTCTTAACTCTAGAGGCCTCCATGGTTCATATGTACTTTTCATTCACATTCTCTTTTATCTTTCTAAGTCACCAAAAAAAGTAGACATTGTTAGCCCAGGGTTGCTGATGAGGGATCCTGGTGCTCTGCGAGGTAGGTAGCTTGTTTCAGTTACTGTCACAACTAGCAGATAATCATACAACAATCACTCTCTCCTACTGCTGTTCTTCTTACCTCATGTTTATTCATTTTTATTCTTTGATTAACTCAGTTGTAGAATCTTGAAATTAGAAGAGTCATAAGCCCAACTTCTTTTCCAGTGTAGAAATCTTCTGTAATCCATTGGTAGCTACTATTAGCTTAGTGGCTAAGAGCATGGCTTTGTAGTCAGGCAAGACCTACTATTTATTGGCTCTGTGACCGAGGATACTTGACTGCCTTCTGTTTCATCATCTGCAAAATGTGATTAATAATAGCATTTACATGGTAGGAAGTCAACGTTAGTCATCTTCTATAAAGGTTCTGCTTACTCCTCAAATAAGGAATTCATCCTGTGGCTACTGTTAACTTTTGTTTGGAGGATGAGATGATCCATACGCCTCTATAATTACCCGTTGGTCTTGTTCGGCCTCCTGGGGTTGTCAGTGTGTACGTAATAAAGTCCCGTCTGCTGAGACTGCTCTTGGAGATACCTGAAAGCGGGTGTTCATGCCCACTGAGCTTTCTATGTTGGGGACTCACAACTTGAGTTCTTTAGTGTCTTCTTAGGTCACAGTCTGGATTTGGTTTCTGGGCCCTTGAAAACTGATTACTCTGGGATGTTAGAGTCCTTTTTAAAAGAATGGTATTCCGAATTGAACTTAGACCCCAAGGATAGAGCCACCCCACCAATGAGATGGCTATCCCATCTTGTATCCTTTTCATGCATCCTAAGGTAAGTAGCATTTACTTTTTTGATCCTACATAACACAATTGACTAATAAATATTTTTTTTCTTATTTTTTTTATTAAATTATTATCTGTGTACATATCTTACCAATGCCCCCCCTCCCATAGATGCCCTCCCTCTCCAGAGTTTTTCGTCCATTGGTTTTGCTTATATGCATGTATACAAGTCCTTCGGCTGATCTCTTATCTCCCTCATATCTCCCTACCCTCCCTGTTGTAATTTGACAGTCTGCTTGTTGCTTTACTGTCTCTATATCTATCTTTTGGTTCATCAGTTTATAATTTATTATCCATAAATGAGTGTGGTCATGTGGGGTTTCTCTTTCATTGACTGGTTTATTTTACTCAGCATGATGTTCTCCAATTCCATCCAGGTTGCTGCAAATGATAAGAATTCCTTCTTTTTTATGGCAGCATAGTATTCTATTGTGTAGATGTATCATAGTTTTTTGATCCAATCATCTGCTGACGGGCACATAGGCTGTTTCCAAATCCTAGCTCGGGTCTGCAACCTTTAAGATATAAAAAGCCACTTGGACCCGTTTCCAAAGGAAAAAAAAAAACCTGAGAGCCACAAAACCATTGCGACATTTAAAACAAATATAACACTGCATATATTGTTTCTTACCTTAATGCTATATACCGGATCGTGCAGTTAGCTGTCAATCTGAAGAAAAAAAGGACTTTTTCACTTAACAATGTAAAATATATTTTTGCAAATTAATAGCTAATTAAAATATTTACCTGGTTAATGGGATTTTTGCTCCTGAACCTCAGTGCACAGTGTCAGTACATCAGGACTATAAGACGTTACCTTCATTTTCATACAGGTTTGCAAGTTGTCGGAGCCGCGGTAAAGCTTCAAAAGAGCCGCATGCGGCTCTGGAGCCGTAGGTTGCCAACACCTGTCCTAGCTATTGTAGATTGTGCTGCTATGAACATAGGGGTGCATATATCCTTTCTGATTGGTGTTTCTAGTTTCTTGGGATATATTCCTAGGAGAGCGATCACTGGGTCAGTTTTTTTGAGGAAACTCCATACTGTTCTCCACAGTGGTTGCACCAATCTGCATTCCCACCAGCAGTGCACAAGGGGACTAATAAATATTAAGTAGCTAAAACTTCCAAATCTTTTTCACATTTGTTGTGAAAACTTTTAATTGTAGTAAAATACACCTAACAAAATTTTCCATCCTAATCATTTTAAGTGTACATTGTGGTATTGTTAACTTTATGCAAATTATTGTGCAACAGATCTTTTAAAAACTTTGTCATTGTGTCTGACAGCAGTTCCTTACACATTGAATAACTCATCCCCCCATCAGTCTCTTAACCATTATACTACTTTTTTTCTGAGTTTGATTATTTTAGGTATCTCATATGCAGTATTTGTCTTTCTATGATGACTTATTTCATTTAGAGCAGTGATTTTCAAAAATTCAAAAATTTAAGCAGTGAATTTTTAAAGCATGCAATACCTGACTATTTAGTCAGGGACACTGACCTCTTTTCCGTACATTGTCAAATTTAAAAATAACAACAGCCAACCCAACAATAGTTGTCTGATGTGAATGAATCAAAATTAAACCTGTTTTTTGTCAGATTTTTATATTTTTTCTGTGTACTACAGAATTTTAGTAATTAGTTTATGTGTGCCATGGGATGAAAAAGGTTGAAAATCACTAATTAGAATAATATCCTCAAGGTTCATTTTGTAGTATATGGGAGGATTTCCTTCTTTGTAAAGACTAACTATTTCATTGTATATTTATCCATTGATTGGTTTATCCACTTTGTTTATTTATTCATTCTGTTGTTGGACACTTGGGTTGCTCCCATTTTTTTGGCTATTGTGAGTAATGCTCTATGAACATGGTGTGCAAATATATCTTTGAGACATTGCTTTCAATTATTAGGATATATACCTACAAGTGGAATTGCTGGGTTATATGGTAATTGTATTTTTAATTTATTGAGATTCCTCCATACCATTTTCCACATCAATAGTGTACAAGGCTTCCAGTTTCTCTATATCCTTGCCAACACACATTTTGTATTATTTTGGTAGTAGTTACCTTAATGGATATGAGCCTCTGGGCATTGTAGATTTTATTTGCACTTTCCTAATTATTAATATTTAGTATTTTTTCATATGCTTGTTGGCTATTACATTTGTTCTTTAATCATGTTTCTCCATCTAGACTTTTAAATCCAAGACTCATTTTACTTTTCTGTCAAGCCTCAGCTTGTTTATATTCCATTGCTGCAGCTGGATGATATAATTTGGATTCTAGTGCTTTTATCTATAGTTTACTGTTTCTTCTAGCTTCATATAAACTTTATTTTAGACATATCTGGTCCAAATAATTTTCTCCTCTCAGCTACTAAGGATGGCTAAGCTTCTGACTTTCCAATGACTAGCTTGCCCAGTACAGTAATTTCCCCACCCTCCTTAATTTTCCATGTTTGTCTGTCTTGCTTTATGCTTCTTTTCTTTTTCTTTTTTCTTTTTATTTATTTATTTTGGAGGCGAGTCCTTTCTTTTTAAAAATATTTATGTAGCTCCTATCATATACTGAGCACTGGAGATACAAAATTGGAATAATTTGATTTCTACTCTAAAAAGATTCATAGTTTAGGGAAGGAGCCAGTCACATAAAAATATGTTATATAATAATTGCTTAAGTGTTTTGTATATACAAAGAGAAAGACAGGAGGTGAGTTTTGATACCATTTATTTGGGTATCTAGACAAAGTGAGGAAGAATGTTTTGGACAGAGGGGATAGCATGAGAATTAAGTGAATAGTTGGGCCTTCACAATTTTATAGATTTTAATACCGTTTATTTATTTTCTCTGAAATGTTCCAATGCTTTTAATGAACCTCATGTCTTCCTATTAGTCTCTCACTCCTGCTCTCTCTCCCTTACTCTTGTCTAGTGGGGACCACTAACACCACTGATGGAAGCCACGATACCTGGGCATCGGACCATGAACCCCTGTCCTGTATGGGAGCGAAACACTGGCTGTGTGTACCTGTTCTTCATTTGTGTGCAGGGCCATGTCACCGAGCGTCAGCAGATTCTGTCAGGCAGGAATGCCGCTCGCCTCTGCTGCATCAGCAGTCGGGATTCTGGCTGTTCATGGAGCAATGTGAGGGACCTGACTGAGGAGGTCATTGGCCCAGAAGCTAAGCGCTGGGCCACATTTGCTGTGGGCCCGGGTCATGGCATCCAGCTGAAGTCCGGGAGGCTCATCATCCCTGCATACACCTACTACATCCCTTACTGGTTCTTTTGCTTCCGGCTACCATGTAAAGCCAGGCCTCATTCCCTGATGATCTACAGTGATGACCTAGGGACCACGTGGCACCATGGCAGGCTCATTAAGCCCATGGTGACAGTGGAGTGCGAAGTGGCAGAGGTGACTGGGAGGGCCGGCCACCCTGTGCTGTATTGCAGCGCCCGAACCCCAAACAAATGCCGTGCAGAAGCTCTGAGCACTGATCATGGTGAATGTTTTCAGAAACCAGCCCTGAGCCAACAGCTCTGTGAGCCCCCGCATGGCTGCCAGGGCAGTGTGGTGAGTTTCCAGCCCCTGGAGATTCCAAATGAATGCCAGGACCCTAATGGCAAAGACGATCCTGCCCTTCAGCAGAACCCTCTGCTGGGCAGTTCGAGGCCAGAGCAGGAGGAAGGTGAGACACTGACAGAATCATGGCTCTTGTACTCACACCCAACCAGTAAGAAACGGAGGGTTAACCTAGGCATCTACGTCAACCGAACCCCCTTGGATGCTGCCTGCTGGTCCTCCCCCTGGATCTTGCACTGCGGGCCCTGTGGCTACTCTGATTTGGCTGCTCTGGAGGAGGGCTTGTTTGGGTGTTTGTTTGAGTGTGGGATCAGGCGGGAGTGTGAGCAGATTGCCTTCCGCTTGTTTACAGACCAAGAGATCCTGAGCCATGTGCAAGGTGAGTGCACCTGCCCTGGTAGGAACTCTGACCCAATTCAAAACTAATTGGCTTAGGATCTGACTTTCCACAGAAGGAAGCTGTTAGAAGGCAACCATGGCCAGGATCATGGAGGCCAGGATAACAGAGGTTACGGAAGCCTACAAGGAATCGCAAAATCTAATATTTTGCTCCCTACCTTTTTTTCTCCTCCTCAAGATAATGAACAATTTGCCATAGCTACTATAGCCGAAATAGCACTGAACTGTGTGAATTGAGAGACTATGATATGATCTTGGATCTGCCATGGCTGGCTCTAGGAACTTGAACTCTCTGGGCCTCAGGTCTCCATCTGTAAAATGAGAGGATTGATCTGTGATCTCTCTCCTTCCTATCCCTCAGGAAGGCAGAGGGCCTGATGGCTGCATGATCATCAAGTCCTGGCTGCATAGGACTCTGGTATCAAAATGGAAACCATAGGACTCCTCTTTTCAAATGACTCACTGCTTATCCAAGTGTGGGGTTCTAAGCAAGTGTCATGTCCTAAAGGATCTGGACGGTCAGTAATAGACGAACTCTGTCGGCTTCCAAGAAGACTTGGGCAAAACAGAATCATGAGGTCGCCTACCTTCTTAGCTTTGCAACTCTGCTCAACCTGTGCTTACGTATCCAAAAAGCAGTATTTCCTAGGAAGAAAATGAAAGGCTCAATACCAGTAGTCCATATTGTTTCTGATGACATTTCTATGAAAGACAAACTAAAGTTCATTTATTAGGATGGTTCCTGATGAGAAAAAGACATGACTTAGGACTTTAAAACATTGGACAAAACTTCCCACCGTCTCTGCCCTCAAGAAGTTCACAGTTTATGAGGCTGGAAGAAGGAGAAAATATTTTTAAAATGCAGTTGGTGGGATAGTTAGTAGATGTTGGGCTCTGAGTTGCAGATCTGTAGATCATTATCTTGATGCCTGGAGTCATCTGCCCCAGGGCTTGTCCAGGCTGCTAGGTTCCCCCTAAGTTTGTTTTTCTTAGAATATTGTCCCGGCTCAGCCACTCTATTTGCCAGCGGAGAAACTCTTCGCCCTTAGGAAGGTCTCGGACCCTCCAAACCACTGAAGCTGGCCTGTTGGGATCCACTGAAGTCACTGTTTGTGAAGTGAGATGACCTTGTCTAATAGTTTTGGGCTCAACTTTCCTAATACTGGGTCTCCCAGACGATACTAAGTTAGTTGCTCTTATTTTAGGTTGTTTCCCTCGTAGCCTGTTAGCATGAGATGTTTCTTTTTTGTCCCTCTTAAATCAGTATATCAGCCAAATACAGGGTGGGACAAAAGTAGATTTATCGTTCATATGGAAAATAATACAATAATTAATAAATAATAGTACAAAAATAACTGTGTTTCATGTACTCAGAACTTTGTCCTACCCTGTATATGAGGTGCTAGGTAATGGCCCCGAGAGCAAGCCTTAGTGGTAGAGCGTAGTCTAGGATGCATCCATCAGACGGTGGAGAAGTCCTATAGGAGGAAAGGAGGGATTACCTTCACCTCCTTCGTATTTAGCTTAAACCATTGTCTTAGGGTGGCCTGTGTACATTTGCCATTACCTTCTCAGTAGTCTCCTATGATCATTCACTCATTTATACATTTATGTAGCTACTTCGTGAGTGCCTGTGCGTAACGTAAGGTGCTTTCTGTTGCCATTCCCTGGCTGAAAATAATTTGTGGCTCCTCATTGCCTATTAAAGGCTACAATTAGGCTGGCATGTAGGGTGAAATAATGATTACTTATCTCTGCTGCTTTATGTGAAGGCCACTGTCAAGCCCATTGTCAAGTTGGCACGTGGAGGCAGGTGGGGTGAGGTGGGCAGAGTGGTGCAGGGGGAGGATTGAAAGGGCAACCCCCTCCTGAGATCTTGTTCGGCAAAGCTTTCTCTGTACTCTGAATGGGTAGAAACAGGCAAGATGGCGAAGCTCTACATCGGGGCTAAATGGGGAGAGAGTGAGAATATCGGGACTTCTTGGGACTATCAGAGAAGGGAGGGACTTCAGTCACATGCCAGTGGGGACCCAGATATCCGGTATGGGTATTCCTAAAGACTTACCCACCTCTAAATTGTCCTCCCCTTTCTCCTTCGCCTTTGCCTCATGTTTGCTTCTCCTTAGGGAGAAATTCCCTTAATAGGCAAAGGGCCTATATGCACATTTTGGGACTAGCAAGAAAGGCGGTTTGGGGCAGGCATACCCCGGAGTGAGGATTAGAGAGGAACAGGTGGGGGGTGGCAGCTGTGAGGAAAAAGAATAGCAGGTACAAGTCCTGGCACCTTTGGAGAGAAAAGACGGGAAGACATGAGGCCAAGCTGGAGGGCTGTGTAGGTGGTAGTGCTGTGAAGGAATGATAACCGGCTGGAGCTGTTCCCAGAAATGTGGGGACGGATAGAGGCTGCACAGGCAGCAGGACAATTCCTCCGCAGCTCGGTAATTGTAAGCTGGCTCTACTTGACCAACAAAAACCACCATAGGCACTCAACTCTGTTTGTGCCAATTACCCAGATCTTCAGGGCCCTGGGACCGACCCCGTGATGCTCGTGTCCTAACTAAGCCCATTCCAGCCCTTTCAGGTTGGTAGGATGAAAAGAGAGGGCAGGCGATGGCAGCTGTGAAGAAAAGAGGAAAGACTGAAGGCCTCTGCTACAGAGACATGAGGAGAGGACTGCATAGGCTGTGGACCTTTGCTCCCGGATACCCCATCCTGTCCTTGAACCCTTAGTAAGTATCCATCTAGCAAAGGTGCCCCCCAACACCTCCACTGGAAGTGCAAGAGAGCACCGGTAGTGAGTGGCCGCCTCCTGCTGATAGGTACCCATCTGTTCAACCTGCTGCTCCTGCTTATGCTCCCTAACTCCTGGTTCCTCACTCCTAGGCAGGCTCCTAATATTTACCTTGGGCCTTTGTTATTTGTTATTTGGATCAGTTTTTCCTAGTCACCAGTCTCCCCTCAGATATCCACAGGGTATCATGTAGCTACAGCCCTAGGTAAGAGACCTTGCTGCCTGCCTGTGGGGCAGCCCGAGGGACTCACAGAGGCCACCCTGAGGCTGCCCAGCCTCTGCTCCAGGACAGTGGGATTCAGGACTCTCACTTGGGCCACATTAAATTGCTCAGGCTTCTTGAGGACGTGAATTCTCCCACTGCATTATTCAGTAGGTGTCGTGTCCTCCTGTGCTGCCACAGTGCACAGTCTGAGCCTTCCTGCGGGCCTTACCACAGGCTGCCCTGCGTTATTGCCTGTTGTGCCCTCTAGGCCTCCGCTAGGCTGTGAACTCCTTGAGGGCCAAGTCTGACTCCTCACTGTATCCTCTTAAAACAAATGCTTTTCTATCACATTTCCCTGGTTAGGACTCTTGAGTCCCCTCTGTCCTCTGACCCAACACAGGGCCTGGCACAGAATAGACAACAGTGAAACTATGCTGAATTACTAACGGAGTTAGAGACCCTTGGCCTTCAAAGCTAACTGAGAAGGTAGGGTGAGTTCCCTCCAGGGAGGAGCATGTCGCATCCCTCTGGATTCAGAGCACTCTAAACGTGCTGAACGCTCACTCCTAATGGGTCTTCTCTGCTGGCCGCTTCCACGTCAGTCAGGGTTTCCTGGGAACGAGCTTTTCTCCGGCTGCCTGGACATGCCAAGGAAAAACTGATCCAAATAACAAGTAGCCCAAACCCAAAGCAAAGCCTTGACTTGGGGTTCTCATTTCACTGGTAACCCCCTCCCCCATCTAATTGGGTTTTCTAGAGCTCCCCTCCTCCAGGACTCGGAGGGAGGTGCTGGGGCTCAGCATGTTCCATGCATGTCTTGATTCTGTGATACCCCGTGCCACAAGTGCTCTCTGTACTGTGAAACCTACCATGACTCCTTGAAACAATGAATACGAATAAAAAGCATAATTCTGGTACTACTAGTTTTGTTGTTGTTAAGGAAACTGAGATTGTAATCATTCTTATATTTAGTTTATACCCAACTTTTTTTTGGATTCGAGGCATTTTCTTGCTTTTCATACGAACTTTAGCTCTCAGAAAACATTATTATAATAATCCTTTGCACTTGTACACACTGATATTTGAACATAGTAACGAATTGAGGGCAGCAGTACAGAGGTGACCATAGTAACGAATTGAGGGCAGCAGTACAGAGGTGATGACACATTAGCTGTTAAGTGGAGGCACCTGGGTGCACAGAATCCCTCCCTCTAGCACCAGCCTCAGTGCTTTGTCACCCACATCTAATTTCTTTTTTCAAAAATACCTTGAGATTACTCTCAAAGTGCAGTTGGAGAAGCCACAAATATTACCTCAATGAAGTGGGGTAATAGCTTTTGCTTGACTTCCTTTTGGTTACTTTGGGTGCTTAAGGCATTACTGATTCCACCAAATATTTCAACCTAACAATTCCAGTCCTGTCACTAGGTCAGCTGTCTTTTTTTTTGAAAATTGACTATTGAAAACGTTTCACATGGACATATCTTTTGTTGTACCACTGAGAGTCTTACAATGACGAAAGAATGAAGTCGAGAGAACTGCGAATTTGCCTCTAAAAGTAGTTTTACAATAATTCTAGAATTGTATTTTAAAATCCAGTGATCTTTTTGTGTGTGTTGTGTTAGACTGCTTACTGTCTGAGGGACCTCTGGGTTTGAGAGGAATATGCACCACTACGTAAATGTTAGTGCTCTGTTTATTAAACTCATATTCAATAAAACATTGAAAACCTCTCGCGTATTCAAACAGTAACACTTGATGAAACTGCCTTAAACATAAATACCAGTTACAAATTTAGCATAGCTGATCCTTTTGAACAATTCAAACACCCTACATAGTAGATAAAACATATATATCCAATGATGATAAAACACAAGCTTACATTCAAATGGAGCTAAAAGAGTTGATGCTATGGATTAACGCTGTTTCTTATTATCCTTCCACCTCTTGGGACTTTTAGCTTTTCAACTCCTTAGAATTTTGGTGTCTTTACCAGATTTCCCCCTCTGATCTCCCAGGGATTTAGTAATA